AACCAAGAAGCCCTTCAAGAGAAGAATGGATAAACAAATCTGTGGTATAGTCATACCATGGAACATTTTTCAGCAGAAAGAATAATTATCAAGCCACACAAAACCATGAATGAACTGGAAAATGTATACTACTAAATGAAAGAAGTTTGAAAATACTGTGTGATCCCAAGTATATGACATTTCAGAAATGATACAGCTATAGAAAAAGTCACTTGATGGCTAATTATTTAACTACTAACAGGTTGGCAGTTCAAATCCATCTAGCAAAAGAAAGGTGCAGCATTTATTTTAAAAAAAATGATAGCCTTATGATTGTATGAAATGCAATGTTTATAAAATTTGTAAGCAAACCAAGATGACACATTACTTGCTGAAACTGAGGAAGGCCTGAATCATCTGCTGCACAGGGTCAATCAAGGATAGTAGTATGCAATATGGATTGAAGCTCAACATCAAAAAAATAAATATTCTCACTACTGGGCCATTTGGCAGCACCATGAAAGATGGAGAAGAGATTGAGATTGTTAACAATTTCAGTTTGCTTGGTTCCATAATCAACACTCTTGGCACCAGCAGTCAAAAAATCAAAAGATAACTGCATTAGGGAATTATCTGTTGTCAGAGTGTTGAAGAGCAATGAAGGCAGTCACTAGGGTGTGCCCGGCCCAGGCCAAGGTCTTCACAATTACTTACTATGCATCAAAGAGCAGGGCAATGTTCAGGGATGACAGAAGAATTGATGCCTTTGATTTGTGGTGCTGGGGAAGAGTACTGAACATACCACATACTGCCAAGAGAACTAACAAGTCTGCTTTGGAGAGGGTGAAACCAAGCTGTTCCTTGGAGGCAAGGATTTTTGAGACTCTGTCTCACATGCTTTGGTCAAATAGCCAGGAGGTGCCATTCTCTGGTGAAGGCTATCATCCTGACGGGTGAAGGGACAGCATAAGATAGGAAGGCCCTATATGAGATGGACTGACACAATAATTGGAATGAGGGAGGTGTGTCACAGACAGTACGACTGGCTCAGGATAGAGCAAGGTTCAGAGCTATTGTACTTAGGGTTGCTGAGTTGTAAGCAATTTGACAGCACATAACAGCAATATAAAATAAAGCCTTGAAAATACTATTAAGTGCATTTCCATTCTGGCTGCCATGGATTAGAACAGAACCATCAGCTATTTTTTGGGTTCATTGTTATGTGCTATCAAGCTGGAACTGTCTAGTGGGTTTTCAGAGGCACGGGAGAAGACCGCCCATCTTTCTCCCATGTAGTAGCTGGTAGACTTGAACTGTTTGTTTACCTCTGAGTTGGCAGTGAAACTCCTTATTCACTAGGCTGCCAGAGCTCCTTTGTTTATAGATAGTAAAGATCAGTGGTAGCTAAAAGTTTATAAGAAGTGCATAACGCAGATTGTTCCTCCAATCCTGATGCCACATTTCTCCTCAGAGAGCCCAGCCACTCGGATAACCTGTTCTGCAAAAAGACTGAAAAGGTACGGAGACAGGATACAGCCCTGGCATACACCTTTTCCAATTTTGAACCATGCAGTGTTTCCTTGCTCTGTTCTGATGACTGCCTCCAGCACTTACAAAATAAAATAAATAACTGAACAGGAAAAGAAGAGAAAAACCTCCCTTGTGGAATTCTAAATAGTTGACATAGATTCTCCACTCCCAAGGACAGGGAACATAAATCCCTACCCAATTAATTTGGGCTGCATACAGTGACATCCTTTTGAAGAGTACAACATGGAAAGTGGTGAGAAATAGTAACTTCACAGTTGGCAAAAAACAAAGAGTCATAAATCAGGTTGGCAGTATAAACCCTTGATATGCTGTGAGGAAAATTATACTTACCACTGAGGTCTTCAATCTTAAAAATATGTAACTCAAAAAAAAAAAAAAGTAACTCAAGTCCAATCATGAGAAAGATATCAAATAAATTCCAATAGCAAGACATTCTACAAAACACTGGACCAGTATTCCTCAAAACTGCCAAGACCATTAAAAATAAAGTGAGAAACTGGTGGCCAAAAAGAGCCTGGAGAGACAGTGAATAAATGTTAGGTGGAATTCTGGATGGTATCTGGGATAAAAACCAAAAAGAACATCTTAATAAAGCAGTGATTTTAGTAAGTGTATCAATGTTGGTTAATTGTAACAAAGGTTAAGTAATAGAAACTGAATTTGGAGTATATGAGAATTCTTTGTATTGTGATCTCAATTTTTCTCTAAATTTCAAACAATCTTAAAGTTTCATAAAAAAACAGAGCTACCTATAAGCCAGCAAGTCCACTCATAAAAACCTATATATGCCAAAAAATGTGTCCACAAATGTTCATAGCAGAGTAATTTATAACATCCAAAGTGAAAATAAATTTAAATGTCCTTCAACTAATGGATAAAATATATTTTCATACAAGAGACATAGATTTTAGGCCTGTCTTCCAAGGAACTTGGGGTGGGTAGGTTTTAACTGCCAACCTCTTTGTTTATTTTGTTAACTAGGAACTCCACCAAATTGTACCTTTCGTCAAGGCTGTATCTGTAAGTCTAAGCAGCTCTTATAGGAGCCAGCCTCCAAGGGTTCCTAGACTATATCCCAAACAAAACCAGACCAGGCTCCCTGCTATTATGTCGATTCTGAGAACTGCCCCATATGGTTTCTAAGGCTGTAAAATGGAAACAGACTGCCACATTTTTTTTCTTTCAGAGTAGCTGGGAGGCTTGAAACACTCACCTTTTGGTTAGGAGCTGAGTATATGTTTAAACACTATACCACGAAAGATCCCAGGTAACAGCCTACTAAGCCTGAAAGGTGAAAGGTGGAAATACCTAATGCAGGCCACTGTAGATAATTTTTATGAAGTTTTCATGTTTACGTATCAAGGCCTTTCATTGGCCTGTGGTTCCCTATATGAGAAGTCTAGCCTGTGGTCACCATTTCCACATCAAAGCGATCAGCTATGATTGTCTCCAGACAGAGATTAGGACTGTTTTTGGACAAAGTTTTAAGAGTAAGTATTTCAGGCTTTGAAGCTTATCTTAACTACTCAACTTTCCATTGGTAATGAAAAAGTATGGCTGTTTCTCTGCAAACGCTGATTTAAGTACAGGTAACAGGCTGAATGACCATGGTTTGCCAAGTGTGTGTGTCCCAAAGCAAAACTAGGGCTCTGAGTGAGATGGGAAAAGTAGAACTAAAATTACTTTCCTTAATATATCCTATTACTACCTCCATTAACACAAAGTACAGCGTACAGCCATCCTCTCCTTCCTCCAGTCGTTGAAAATTGTCTTCTGACTCCCTAGGGGTTTCTCCTGTTGTTCCCTCAAAACACCTTTTAAGAGAGGTAGTGATACGTATTCCATTTCCCCTTTACACGTCGTTTAGAAAGGCAGCAAGAAGCACATGCCAATTCATCAGTTTGGCAGGAATGGGAAATCAAGTCAACAACTGTTTTCCTATGTGTTTTATTTATTTTGGCAGCAAAATGGTGTTTATTTAAAAAAAAAAAGGTGGTCTATGAGCTTCTGTTAGAAGAACCCAGACAAATGCCAATACTAAAAAGTGTTTAACTGGCTATATTCTTAAAGACACATTAAAAGAACAAAATGCAGTGCTGTAATTTAGGAAGACAATAATCCCCCAGTCAGAAATCACAACTTTTCCAAATAAAGAATATGACCCATCTACCATATTGAATTGATATTTATTTTAGGGCATGCCATGTCAAAATAAAACAAGAGTCAACCCTTACCTTTAACAATAATATTGCATTATAAAAGCACTTTACAACTCCATTTTGTCTTTGAGCATAAGTTATTGGTATGTGGCCTAATGATTATCTGAAAGCATTTCTCTAGTCAGATCAATAACCAAGTGCTCTCTGAATATTACAAGGTGACAGTAAGTGGGAAGTGGAGGAGCAAGAAGAAAAGAGAAGGGAATAGGGTTCCCCATTAAAGTGTTTTGTGGCAATGAGGGTATGAGGAAGTATGAAGATATTTTTGTTGTCTTTTCACCTTTATACTGTGTTAAGTAATGCTTACAACATAAATTTAGCAGGGTTTTCCTGAGCAGCAACTCAGAAATTCTTTTCCTGCAAACAATGTATTTACAAATGTGTTTATTAACTTACACAGCAATCTCACAATAACTAGTAAAGGTTAAAAGGGTGCACTCCTAGTATAGGTGTTTGCAGTGTTTTAAGGGAAATACATATTGCCATGGTGATCAAGCTTTAAATATTTAACAAAAAAGTCCAAAATCTGAAAAGTAGTTTTTTAAAAAGGCAAAGAAATAAATATGACCAAAGAAAAAAAAAGATTAATTGTAGCTTAGATATAAAACTAAATCACCAGTTAATTGACCAAACTATACAGATCTAATGAAAAGCAAAGCTAGCCTGAGCAACCCAACATTTTTTAAAGAATAAGCTAAAAATAAGGCATAAGTCTGCATAATGTTTAATTTTATTAACATTCACTCCTTCCCCTCTTCTATGTATACTTTATCAGATCTACCTATAGGGGCTTGTAAGAAAACTGTTTCTTTCAATTTGACCTCAGATGTCCTGAGTAAAGTATATGCAATTATGTTTAAGGTACTTTTAATGCTAAACTTTAGTAATCTTTGTTAGGAATCATTATAGTAGTTGACTGTGGTGCCAAATTAAAATTCTTCCACTAGTTCTTCGTAAGTAAATTTGAACTTAGTAGTGTTTTGCCTACACTGCATTTTTCAAAAACAAAGAGAACCCAAGAGAAATCTATTGCTTTAAAACATTTTTCTAACAAATAGACAAAATCTAACTTGACAATTTAAAAATCCTGGGAGAAACAGTTCATTAGAACTTTGTAATTATTACAGTAAAGAATTAAATATTAAAAAAAACCCCCTATTTTGAAACGTTTGCTCATGTTGCTCTCCCAGAGTCTAATAAAGCACATGTGAAAGGGTTATTTCTTTTGGTCAGAAATACATTTTATATTCCTCTACTTGTAAGTATTCAGTATATTTATTACAACTCATTTTGAATATGCATCAGAACCATTTTCTTATTCAAGCACTGCCTATCATGATAGCTGAGTCTTGCCCTCGGAGGGGGTCTAAGTAGTATCTATCAGTGCTCAAGAATTATTTTGGACATTTTGGCTCAAAAGGCCTACAGAAAGTTATTTTCCTAAAGTTGAAGGATAATTCCAATGGGCTTGGTCTTACTGCCGCTGTCACCTCTTGTTTGTTTTGAGGAAGTAAGGGTGGAACAAGGACTTGGAAATGGGAGAGGTGAGCGAAGTGGGGTGAGATCAAGCAGGAAGGCAAGTACTGCTATTAACATATTGCTCCTTAACCAAGCCACATCATAGTTTGAGATTCCCATTAATTTTTAAGTACATTATCATAACATTTAAAAAGGGAAAAAAATGTTAAGAAAATGTATCTAATTTTTAAAGTTATCACTGGAATATGCTGAAATCTTTTGGCTTTTTGTAAAATACAAATAATGAAGACACTGACTTTTTTGTGCTTGTGAAGCTAATAGATCATCTCCACGAGACAGGCAGCAATGATGAATTGCAATACGTTATTACTGAGGGGAAAAGGTTCAAGCCAATATTCACACTGCAGTCAATGAAGAGTAAGGGGTCAAAGCAGTGAGCTTCTGGAGAAGGGCTGAGGACGCCATGGGAGATTAACAGGAGCAGCCTCCTTCACTGACTGGTTGCTCCTGAGGCTTTTCCAGTTTTATGTCAATCACTGAAACAAAAGTTAAGGACTCATAAAATAAAAGCACAATTCTGCTGAACACAGTATGGCCCTCTCTGGAAATCTCCTTCTATTCCTATCTAGAGCCTACCCAGTTACTACTTCCCATACTGCTATCTTGCCATATGAAGATAGGGAATAAACTTGCTTATATTTAATACATGTAGCAAGGTTCAAACCCTACTCATCAGAATCTCTCCTCTCCTAAGGAAGTCATTCGTAACATTTCTTGTAGGATCATCTACGACAAAAATCTGAGAACAGTCTAACAGAGAGTTCCAACAGCAAAGAGAGCATTTAATAAATTCTGGGACTCTGGCTGAGCAGAATATCATTAAAAAGTGAGAAAAGCTTTTAAAACAGGAAACATTTAGAAAGTGAGAAGACTGAATATAAAATGCTAGGAACTCTATGGCTTTATAAAAATGCCTGCATTTAGAAAAACACTATGAAGTAATATACAACAAAATAAACAATGAAACCATCAAAATTCAAAATCCTTTGAACAAAGTGAAATTAGATATACAACTAAGCATGTTGTATTTCTCAAAGCAGAGGTTATGATTAAATTCCATATGGACTTTTTTTATACCAATGCTAAGGAAAAACACAAAAAGAGACAGAAGGAGGGGTGGGAGATTTAAAATTAAAGAGACTGAGATTCTGAGTTTCCTGTTCATTAAAAAAAAAAAGCAAACAAAAAAAATCCTCTCAATGACTGACTAAACTGAGTTGTTAACGACTCATAGCAACCCTATGTACAACTGCAGTGAGTAGCAGTCTGCAAAAGGTGTACTTGGATAACTGTACAAAAAAACCTCTGAGCTTCTATGCCCCTGGGCCATTAATTCCTTGGTTTTCAAATTCTTGGCAAACCATGTGAGGCTCTAAAGACAAGCTTTAAAAATCCACTTTTCTGATAAAACAAAAAGGATACTGTCTTCTCTGCTTCTGTCCTGTGTACTTTCCATTCCAGGTAATGCTGCTGCAACACGTCGGAAGAGCTGAGACGATAACAGGGAAGGAAAATTTAGCAAATGGTAACAAGTAAAGGTGGATAAAAGATAGGCTCTCCAGTCAGACCTTTCACAAATATATTATAATGTCTTTTAATTCTAGTAATTAATATTATAGTAATAGTAGTATTTTATATACATAGAGGTTTATTTCTAACCAGTGAGATGAAACATGGCTAGGATATAAGCAGCAAACTTGGTCTCTGCAGCATAAAACCAAAAATAGTATTGGAACCTAGAAAAAGGACAGAGTACTCACTTCTTAAAACTGAATAGAGATATTTCCACCTTTCACAAGTGGTTAGGTTCTAGAGTCAATATAGAGAGTAAGTCAATTAGGTAAAAATATAAAAATTAACAAAAAAATCCCCAAACTCTCAAACTCACTGCCTTGGAGTCAGTTCCAGCAGATTTCTAAGATTATAAATTATAATGAGAAGAGATTGCTCAACATTCCCTGCAGAGCAACTGGTGGAGTTGAACTTTGGGGGACACATAGCTTTAGGGTTAGTGGTGGAACCAACACCAGATTTTATCACCAGAGCTGCTTAGGTCAAAATTACTCTTGATAATTCCTTAGGGAAGTAAAATGTTAGAGATTAACACACCATCTTTCCAGTCCAACAGACTGCATTTCCTCTAACACTGGAATGTGCACGAATGGAAGTGGTTGGCTTATTCTGAAGATATGATGTTACAAAAACTATCTCCAACCAGACAATCACCTCAAGTTTGATACTTACTCTAAGAGGCATATGGAAATAGAAATCAACAGAAGGAAAAACAGAATTAATAAGTAAGATTATATTTAATTTATCTAACAGCTGATACATCGAAGAAAGATGGTCAGTCTCCTCCTGTGTGATTTACTGCCCCTGAAAACCAACTATGGAAGGTCAACTATGAGTTGGTTCTAATTAACAGTACACAGCAACCACCATCACCTTGGAGTTAGGGTTAGGGTTTGCAACTCCTTATCCACTAGGTACAAGAGCTCCCTAACTAGCTCACATCCTTAACAAATTTCTGTAACAAAAAGTCAGATAAAGCTATCCAGTATTTTAACCTAGAACAAACATAGCATACGAGACAACTTAGACTATTTCAATTCTTTAACTGTCTGTGACTCCTATGGGCTATTATTTATCATGTACTAAATTTCAAGGGAAACTCTGGTGGCTTAGTAACAGTTGCACTGAGAACCAACCTAAAAGCATGTGGTTCAAATCCACCAGAGGTTCCATAGGAGAAATGATGGGCAATCTTCTCCCATGTGATTTACTGCTGACGGTCAGTTACGAGTTGATTCTGACTCAATGAGTCCGACTCTAAGGTATAACAACAACTAAGTTCCATAACACTCTTAGATTTCAAGAGATAATTACAAAAGAATGTTGTAAATTCTGAGTCCCTTATCAGCCTGGAGGTAGTATGAGATGTATGGAAATGTATGAGAAAGTGTCTCTAAAAATGTGCCATCAAAACTCAATTTTTTAAAACGCATATTATTTTAAAAAGAAAATCCTTTGTTGATTGTCTATGAAAGGAAAAAATTATTAGTCTGCCTAAAACAACTACTCTTTATAATACATAACTAAAGAATCATACAGGTGAGTTTTTGGCTGTATTGTAAAAGAGCTAGATAATATGGGATATCTCCATTATTTTCTTCTCCCTCTATTCCTTTTATATAAACACTGTGACTTATCAACAATTTATTAAGAAACTGAAAAAAGTTATCAATGTACTTTGGTGGGGTTTTTCCTATACTGGTTTATTTACAAAGTTCATATACATTGTTTTTCATACCAGATATTTCCATTTGCTTCACCCACCTCTCCCTCAGCTCACCAATATTAATGTATTTTTAAAACAAAACAAAACAAAGCATCATTCTTTACAGCAAATATGGACTTTATTTCACCAAAGTATTATGAAAGTATAAAATAAAAAAGCTCTCTAGATCTGAACTACCAGAAACAGCCTTTGGTTAGCAGAGCAACTCCCCATGAATTAGGTAGGATACTAGAACTCCCTGAAATAAGAAAATGTTATCTTTTAATCAATATTACTAGATTGAGTGAAAACATGGTGACCCCTCACTTTGCAGCTATAATGATAGTTATCCTAGGTGTAATATCAGCAATTTGGCAAAACTATTTTCTCCTCCTAAAAATTATGATACAAAAACAACAACAAAAAAGCAATGCTACAGTTTGTTTTCACAGTTTCAAAATAGTTGCTAATTGATAAAGTGTGCTGTTACTAATGAGAAGAAAATGAAGAAAAAGAGCTTCAATTTTGTAGCATGTTTTTATAATCTAATAATAACCCACACTGAAAGCACACTTACCTGCTTTACATTGTATCCTGCTTTTGCACTAGTTTCAATGAACATAACATTCAGCTCTTTGGCTTTCCTTTCTCCTTCCTCAATTGACACTTGCCTACAGAAAATGAAAAACAGAGAAATTCCTTTTATGAAATACAGTTTTATAAATACTATAAACAAAGTTCTAATAGTAATTCTTCTTGAATTGGTATTGATTACTTAGGCAAATCTGTTTTTTTTTCTTCAATACTGGATCATGAGCATTTACCTTGTGATGTGACACAAAGCTCTTATTTGCTACTATAAATTATACACAAAACTATGGATAAATTATGTATCCATTCCTAAACTATCAAAAACATTGTTCTCAAATTTTACATGGAAAAACTTGCTATAAAAACATGTTTGTGACTAACATTTTGTGCTTTATGGATCATTTCCTTAGGTTTGACTTCCTGGGGTTCTTTAAGTAGAACGTTTGAGTCAAAAGATTTAGGTATTTAAAAAAAAAAAAAAGATTTAGGTATTTTAAAGCCTCTTAGTACACATAGCATCTTCCAATACATTCTAATTAGCAATGTTTTTCCAACTGTAAACTCATGAAGTGCAATACTATCTTGGTATTTTTAGTGTCTAGCTAGCCCATGGGTATTCTACATATATGAATATTCTAATTAAATCTATACTATTAGCTGACAAATTTTGTGTCTTACAATAATGGAAGAAAAAATAAGGGAAGAAAATTTCCAGAAGCTCCCACATCTATCCAACTTCCTCCCCACAGGTGTACCCATTCATTCCATCTCTTCTTCTCGTTGTTGTTGTTTGTTGTTGAGTCAAAACTGACCTTAGAGTTGAATTTCCAGTGGATTTTCAGAGGTAGTAAATCACACAGGAGATTACTCATACTTCTCCCACAGAACAACTGGTGGAGTTGAACTACCTTTGGGATTGTATCACAGCCTCTTACACTAGGCCACCAGATTCATACTCATAAACCTTCTATTAGATCCCATTTGCCTCATCTCTAGAAGGAATTATCCTAGAAATTTTCCCCTCTTAAAAAAAAAAGGACATTCTCTTACATAACACTCCAACTCCAAACATTTTTATTACTATTGTTTTAGCCTCTCTCTGTAATGTGTATGTGTGTATAAAGGTAAAGCTCATAGATCTATTTTTTTCCTTGAAAATTGTTATTCTGTAACCTTTATTTTAAATCCTTTAGTAGTCCAAACTCTATAAAAATACATTTTTCTCACAAAGCAACAGCATGCTTATTAAAATCCAGTAATCAATATAGGTATTTTACTATTATAGAATCAAAAATTTTATTCAGGTTTCATCACTAAGGAGAAATGGTATTTAGAGATGATGTGCTTCTCGGTTGTATTCTTTCATCAGACTTAGTTAATCTCTCTGCTGAGCAAATAATCCAAGAAGCTGGACAATATAAAGGAAAATGTTGCAATATTAGAATTAAAAAAAATAACCAACTTGTGATATGAAGATGACACAATCTTGTTTGATGAATGTGGAGAAGATTTGAAGTACCTACTGCTCAAGAGCAACGGTGTCTCTCTGGAGACTAAGGTGTGCCTGATACAGGCCATGGTTTTTGCAATCACTTGTTATGCATCAGAGAGTTGGACAATGACT